ATTAAGTTTCCCTATCTCGGGTCCGGCCACAATCACGGGGCGGTAAAATGTTTCCATTAACGATTGCTGCAACGCTCCTAAGCTCCGCTTCTGGTGTCCAGAGTACGTGACAAAGTTCTTGTGTAGCACAAATCTATCCACCTCTGCAATAATCGAAATAAGTATTCCATTATCGTCTTCAGCTTCCACAATGGGCTTTAGTTGGCCATCCACCAGCATCAGAATGCAGCAGCACCAGAGACAGAAGCTTGCACACCTCATGACTGTAAATTTTCAACTAGTTTATTGGTCAATCGGGCTACCCATTTGAAAGCTCTTGATTCCTTGTTTATCTAGCTATTAGCTATCATTACGTTGTAACTGCCCCCTTGGCATTTCATTTTATTGGTTCCTATGGCAGAGTTGCTACTAGAATTACCATTAAGCCGAATTTTATGTATGAATTTGTATATATTCAGGTCTGCATTCATATATACATGTATCTATACTTATGTAAGTCACTATATACATATATATGGAATCTATATTCAAAGATTTATTTATTTAACTTTAATTTTTTTCCACCTTTCTACAATAAATAAACTTTGCTTGCTTCAAGTGCAGAGTGCACAATATTTATTAAAGTGCTTCGGGGCGTTACACAAAAATGATTATATACTTATAAGAACATCTTAGCCGAGTTGTTTTGCTTGACGCAGTCCTATTTCTATACACGTCTCGTGCATTTGCATTAGAAAGGGATTAATAACTTGTAAGTAGTATAGGCCCGGTCGTACATAGAGCCTCAGATGCTGTGGAACGGCGCACAACTTCTCAGGGGCCAGGCGTAGCTTGGGAGGAAGCAGGCGCTGTTGCTGAAAGTTCGTCAGCCATTGATGGGTCAGCATGACATAGGCGTGGCTGTTGTTGAGACTCTGAATATTTGCGGATCAACCAAGTCCACGCTTTCTTCGAGACTCCGAGGAATACGGTTGAATAGGCTGTCGAGCTGCTCAGGATATGCCATGATGCGAAGTCCACTGGCAAAAAATGTTTCGGCGTCCACAATATCAGGCTGATGCAATCCTGCTATAAGAGCTGTTGTCGAAGTCCTGATAAGGCTCACAATCACCACCGTATGGACCTCGACCTCTAGTATCATTTCGGGCAATCTCAGACGACAGAACATATGAGAAGTTATGGCGTGTACCATTAGTAGTCTCATAGCTAGATAGAGCTGCAAAGTGAATGGCGTCGGCGAATCACGGCAAAGCAAAAAAAGCCGAAAGCAAGCATCGAGTGACAATGGTGAAAGCATCTGCCATAGTCGTCAATGGCAATCTTTCATTTATAGGGCAGTACCAGGCAGATTTGTGTGGTTTTTATGTTTGGAAAATTTTGATCCATCAACTGGTGTGGGAGCAAATTTGCGCCAAGTTCTATAGCGCGATTGCCGAAATAACCTTTGTAAATTTGTTTTTCATATTCGTCATATTTCAGAATACATCAATCCATTATCCCATAAATCCATTATCCATTCGCAATTCTGTCAAAATTATCCCAGCCAAACCACCTAGTTTCACCTGGCCATCGCGGGCTTTGTACTGTCAATTAAATAATTGGAGTTTTATTGAATTGTATCTTAAGGTAGATCAATCAGAACTCACGTAAAATAAATCTACCAAGTTCGGATAAAAGACAACAAAAGAGGCGGTGCATGTCAATGACTTTTTGAAAAATCTCATTAGGTAGTATCCTAAGCTTCTCCATGTATTGACATGTCAGGTTTCATGATATATATCCACAGATCGTAAGTGTTCCAGTACTCATAAAATATATATGTACGAAACATCTGTTTCTCCCAGCACCACTTGAAGAAGGTTTCTGTGAAAGACGTTCCGGGTAATAAATGATCCATTATCTTGTAAACAAACACGAATTGTATTTTGGTATTGATGGCCACTGAGCTATGCAGCCAGCTGAGCAAAGGATCATTAATGCCATTAATAACGACAAACATCAAATTGCAATCAGGCGCGACTGAAAGTCTTCCGATCCCAGGGCCACCAATAATCAGCGGCCCAGACTTCTGCATCGAGCCCAGATTCCCTTCCCGTTCTCCAAAGCAAGTGATGTAGTTACTGAATCGAAAGAGTCGATCTAGCTCGTAGACAATCGAGATCCCTTTATCCCCTTCAGTTTCGGCTACTTCTGGCTGTATTTGGCCATCTACCAGAGCCAGAATGCAGTACCACCAAAGATAAAAGCTTGCACACCTCATGATTGTGAATTCTCGACTGTTCCGCTCTCCAATTAGCCTGGCTAGCCAGCCAGATGCCACCTGTGCAATGCTTGTTTGCACAGTTATTAAACGCCATTACGTTGCGGCTTCAGCTTTGTGGCGCTGTTCGTAAAATTTTATTCAACTGCAACTTTATGACGGGCTTATGGTTTTTATACTGGAAATATTCGAGCTAAATAAACAATATTGCTGGCTATTTGTGTGACTGTTTTAAAATTAGTTTGTGTTTATAAAAAACCAACTATCTTTGAATATGCTATGTCGAATGATGTGAGTATGCTCTATAAGGATATGGTCAAGAGTTTGGTCTGGTGAACAGCGCACAAGCTGACTAAATTTTAGTTAAGGGCTCTAGACGGGAGCAGCCGACTGTATTCATACTACCATCATTTAAGGATCGGTCTATGAGACGTCATCCTATTGTGAGTATTAATTGTTGATTATTATTATATTTTGGATATCTATTAAAGTTTCTCTTATTTATATCTATCGTCGATCGAGTAAGACAATGTTGAAAGATTAATGCCTAATACAAGTCATGGAGCTCTGAAAATTCAGGATATTTCCTAGTAGAGTATCCAAAATTAGGTCGTTCTTAATAGGAAATATCTGAAAATTCAGGATATTTCCTAGTAGAGTATCCAAAATTAGGTCTTTCTTAGGATTCCTTTCATTTATTTGACTGACTGTCGTTAAGATCAATCAAGCGCTAATTAAATTGCATGAAAATAAATCTTTGCCTGAACATTCCAATGTGAACTTTTGCTGCATATGGAATGCATTGCTAGAGGTCCGTATGCTGCCTGCCTTAAACTAGCAGAACTGTCAAACTGTCTAATTACGGAGAATGACAGCATTCGGATATGGTTTCATTTGGATAAAACATGCACAGGACCAGGGAAATGTATAATTCATGCAACATTGGCAACATTTGGAGTCAGGGATCAAATGGCATTTGATATGGATAACAATTCACTTGTCTCTTTGACTTTGGCACGCATCGAATGAATATTTCATGGCAGGCCAATGGCAAAAACTTTTACGCTTGGCAATTTGTGGCATATCAATAGTTAATTTGTACATCAATACATATTTAATGAGCCGCACACACACACACACACACACACACACACACACACACACACACACACACATTTTGGGTCGCCCTCGATTGCCGTTGTGCTTATGCTAGAATTTATGTACAATATTTTGGACAATTGGCAAAAGCGCATTGCAGGCTGCGTGTCAATAATATAATCCACAATCAACTAAAATTGCACACATGGTACAATAATATCAAATACTCCTGCTGACACACAATTGTTTTGTGTTTAGCCAAATAGGCAAACAGAAACTAAAGCCAGGTAAATTGCATTGGCCTAATATGTATAGCATATTTAGAATTTAGGTCATATAAGGGGTAAAGATGAATAAATAATTAAGATGAAATATGAAATTTATGTACATGTATGTATGTCCGTTCTGCTTTCCATTCGTACATCTGCTTAAACGAAATGTTTTTGGCATGGAAATTTAATCAAAATAATAACTTAATAATTTAATTTGTTTTCTATCTAATTTGAATTTATTATATTAGAATTTCAAAAAGAAGTTTTGTAAGCGAATGCTTAACTCAACTAAGCCTATATATTTAATGTATTTTATCTAACGTAATTAAATTTTACAGTTGAAAGACTATTGAATTACTGTTTCTAGTCTGAAGCCTATCAAATATTACATCCAACTCATTAGGGCGTGGCGAATCCAATAATAATATTCCTCAATCAGAGGACTACATGCTGTTGCTCTTAAATTCGTATTATTTAAAATTTTTCAAAATCTCCTTCAATTACAAAGTTAAACATAATTTAAATGGAAATTAAATTTTAATAGTAAAATGGTAACTAAAATCAGCGTTCAAGGCCGTCGCGGCTTGAAATTCGAGTACAACTATGATGCTTGCCTCATGGCAGTGCTTATTCAAGGCAAACACATCGTTTGAACCCATCCATTGGCGTATCAAGTTTCAATTGGGCGTAGATGGGCGTGGCAATACAAACAGAATCGCAGCGCTAGGCTAAGTGCAAGTACAAGTTATTAGAGCGTAAGTCCTCACATTGCTTTGTTGTGTGTCCTGTGGCACTAAAGTCGCTGGTGTTCAACGCGTTTCAGAACGCAACTTTAAGCGGCAATTGACGGGGCATGAACCTGTGTGCAGAGCAAATGCTCATGTAAACGCCAAACTTTGTCTTGTTGCATGTGCGATGGGCGGTTAAGGTTTATGAGGCACGGGGCGTGGCATGGGCGTTTGGTGCGCTAAGTGCGTGCTGCCCAAATTTTAAATGCCGCTGAGAGGCGGCCGTCTTCCGGGTTGCTGCTCATTGATGGCCAGCACGGCGTACGGGCATTAAGCCCGAAATTCCTAGCATAGTCTTGCGCATTTACGTGACTTTAAGACTGAAGGAAGGCAAAACAATTGAGTGCAACAAAATATTTGGGATCCACCATTGTTGACGAAGGTCAAGTTCAGCGTTTAGCATACGCCAGGCCAGGCCAACGGTACGCTACGTAATGACTGGCCTTACGTTACGTGGCGCTCAACGTAAGCCAAAGGCTCGCTCGCTCTCTCGGCTCGACGCTCTCTTTATTCCTATGCTCTCGTCTGTCGGCTAGTATAAAACGGCAGCACCAATGCCAATGGCAGTCAGTTAGCTGCAGACGACGCGACGCCACGGAACAGCTGCCAGCAGCGAACTTTGGGGCAACGCTTCTTCATATCCTTGTCGCGAACGCGTCGGCATCTCATTCTCGCTCGCTCTCGCTCTCACTCTCACTGCTCGTTCTCGCTCTCGCTCTCAGTCGCTGTATCGCAATTTAGACGTGCTTATCAGCAGACGCTTTCGAAATGCCGTCGCTGCGTTGCGCTTAGTACGTAGCATACTTTTTTGGTGTAACATATCAGAGCAACAACATCAGCAACATCGACAACATCGACAGCATCTGCAGTTTGCAACATGTTTTGGATCTTACGGCGCACTGGCGCCGCCAATTTCTTCAACTCGCTGAACAACAATTGCAGCTTCAGCAAGAGCAGCGGCAACGGAGCCGCCGGCGGCAATGGCAACCACAGCAACAGCACCCAGGGTAAGTTGTACAGTCCAGGTGGCAATTATATTATTAGATTTCGACACCAGGCACTAATTGATTGGACTGTCCAATTAGTGTGCCATGACTCAGACTCGGTGCTCCACTCTGTAATCAAGCTAGAAGCTGAGCTAAGAAAAACCAAAATGATTGCTAAATTACTCAAGTGCTTCTCAGATCTCCAGTCGTGCTCTGTGTGTGCGTGTGTGTTGAAGCAAGTCGAACAAATTAGTTTCTACATTCAAGATGAACAGTTTTTTTAACGTGGCAGCATTAGAATTATTAAAATCTTTGCTTGAGCTTTATTAATTGAAGTGTGTGTGAGTGTGTGTGCTCTGAAAGTTTTGGTATAAACTTTTTGAGCGATTCGCTGAACTTATCACACAACCATGGCACGTATTCAGTATAACTATTTCAATACTAATGCCAGTTATACAATAAAAGAACAGTTAAATAGCTATTTAATAGTCCTCGAGGAATGAATGTTAAATATTACCTATTAAAGCTAGTATCATCATTTACTTGACTAAAGATATTTGGAAATATCAATATATATTCAAACGAAAAAGTATATATCGTATGCTTTTTTACTTGGCGTTTGTATTTTTCTTTTGAAATACCTACCTAAGTATTAAGCAGAGAAAGTAAATACTATTGAAATATTATGGTATATCTATATGAATTTCATTTCAGTCATTCAAACTATCTAGCCATAATCAAACTGGCTCTACTTACTTAAATATAA